CATCATGACACGACTCGTCCTGAATCACTTTAACAAACTCGACACGTGTCGTGCGCCAATGGTAGATACCAACTAAATGCCGGACCTACCACCAAAGCAACTTTGACTTGCTTGACTGAAAAATATTTCTAACAAAATTTTGGCAGAATTTCCCCTGAAATATGGACTAAACCACCTCAACAATAATCATTTTTTTCTCAAATCAATACCTACAAGATGAATAGGGTATGATAGTCCTTTAAAATACAAACTATTCAAATAAAATGCTGGCAAATCAACATTTTCTTGCCTTACAACCAACAATCCTCAAATATACTAAAAATACCAAATATCTAATGAGCTCATAATGAACTTTTCTGATGTAACCTACGTGTATCCCAAAAGAACACAATATATAATCTGATAAAAGATGTCATACAACCTATGATGCGTGGCTCAATTCGGTGGTTCAACAAGCTCCAAAGCTGCTCAATTCGGCTGCTATCTGTCTGGTAAAGAAAAATGTGAAAAAATATATGAGTTTAAAGCTCAACGAGTGGATAATTTACAAATAAGTAAACTTTTCTTATTTATGCATATTTTTTGAAAATTCTTGCTATATTAAAACTTTGAGAAATTCTGAAAACTAGTAGCACTTTTAACATTAAAACATGATTGGATCATAAAATTCTTTATTCTTTATACTAGTTCATTAACTGTAAAATATAACGAATATAAATAATCTGACATCGATGAAAATCTGTGAAATATTGATGTTCAATACTATAAGTTGGAAACTTTATTCTGAAAACTGAATAGACTGAATTCTATAATTTAAAATCTGATAAGCTGTAGAAATACTGAAAAATCATACCAAAAAGGGTACCCAATGAATAGCCTTACTCATGTACAGAGTAATCTCGATGTACAAGGCAAAGCCATTCAAATATAATATTCTGATAATCTGGTCATATGTACGCAGAGTTGCCCCAGAGGCCAATCACCCTAGTACACGGCCCAAAGCCTATATGTGTACGAGAGTGGGTCCCAAAGACCTTTGATAATCTACTCATACACTATGGAAATACATTCACAATAGTGCAGAGCGGGTAAAATCACCATAACTAGTCATACACTGTGGAAACACATTCACACCAGTGCAGACTGAGGTAAAATCACTTGGGTACTTTCTGGTAGTTTTAAAAATAACTTTAGTTATACTGAAACAGTTATATTCAAATAACATGCTAATCAAATGATTTAATTGAATTGAATTTAACTTTTAAAATATTTGATTATAAATCCACTTTATTCTAAAAATTATGCTGTCAAAATCAATTATATGAAATAATAATAAAAACTAATATCTGAAAAATAAGTTTTTATATTCACTCACCAAGTTATGGACTAATCATGATTTCAATCTTCTCGTCATCTCCTGAAATATGATACAAGATAACCAATTTAATAACAACTCTACCAAGTATCCTTAACTTCTTTAACTACAAAATAATTGACTTCTCGACACCTAGATATATTCTTTAATTTCCTTTACAATTGGAACTAATTCTACCTTCTAGTCCTTTCATTAAAATAATCTTCACTACAAACATAAAAATAATACATTCTTCCAAACTAGTATAACTAATAATTATAATTTAACCAATTTAATTTTTCCATCTTGCTCCATAAATTCATGCCTTCAAATGAGTATTTCATCACTACAATTATTCCTGTTAACCATACTCATTCAAAAACTCAAATAAAAATTCTAGGTTTTGTCCAAAATTGATATTTCATACCTTAATATAAGTAGCCTTCCCAATTCAAAAATATTGGCTTGCAAACATATTCCTTCATTCAATCTGAAAATTTAACCAATAAATCACAACCCTAAAAAAATTTAAGCACAAAACATACCAAGTTATTTGTCAAATTGAAGATGAAATTGAAATAGTCAACCCTACCTCTTTTCCTTTCTTTTTCCTTTTCCTTTTTCCATTCTTTCTTTTCTTCTTTCTCTCTTTCCTTTCTCTTTTCTTTCTCTGCCCCGTTCCAGATTTTTGTAGGTATATATCAATTGAAAATGGCTAAAATAGTTAAGCATTTGACACTTGTAATCAACTAATGC